ACAAACAAGCAGATACGTAACAATATAAAAGAAAAGTTCAAGAAAAGATTGGATGAATGCATGAGTGTAAAGGGTGGTTATAGCTGGGGGCTGGAAGAGACATCCTTAATGGGCTAATAAGCTCCTTTTGTCCCTTTACAATTTTATGAATTTATGAACTATTTTTTGTCAATTCTTGTTTCCTGTGTCATTCAGTTTTGTTTGATTCAGTAAAGTGTTTTGTCTCTTTAAGCTCACCTGTTATAAATTGATGCACTTGTATTCTGCAAGTTAGGTCCAAGAGTCTCTTATTTTTGTGGAGATTTGATTGCTGTGTACAAGCACAACACTGAATTACTACAGTTTCACTTTCACTTGTTTTTCTTTGTGTTTAGTCTTTTTATCTACTCACAACTCAGTCAAAAGTCAGAGCATACAGTTTAACTTTGCATATCATTTTCTGTTGGGGCCTGGCATGGCCAGGTGATTAGGGCGCTCGACTCGCAATCTGAGGGTCGCGGATTCGAATCCCCGTCCAATCACACATGCTCGCCTTTTCAGCCGTGGGGGCGTTATAACGTCACGGTCAATCCCACTATTCGTTGGTAAAAGAGTAGCCCAAGAGTTGGCGGTGGGTGGTGATGACTAACTGCCTTCCCTCTAGTCTTACACTGCTAAATTAGGGACGGCTAGCGCAGATAGCCCTCGTGTAGCTTTGCACGAACTTTAAAACAAACAAACGAACAATTTTCTGTTGGACTTCTTGTTATTCTGTGGAACCTATCAGTTATTCTTAAGAGTAGTCGGTGTATCTCAAAATATCGCATCCAAACACTGTTCATTTATGGGATGTAAGACATTGAACCAACAGACACTTATTTCCCCCGCAGTTGCATTTGAACTAAGAAACCCTTTATCTAGATTTTAACACAAAACTATAGTAGCCCCTCCCTGAATAGTTTCTAGCGCATGTTATACAGGGTAATTAAAATTCCAAGAAACTAAGCAAATGTCATTTCAAATGTTTCAGCAAGTAGAGTTTTGTGTTATAATTTTGCATTCTTTAAAAACAGAAAATTAAAAATACACACTAATCTGCAAGCGCTACCATATTTCAGAACCTATTGTAACATTATATTCATATACACACGAACCAGCTCGCAATAGTTATGTAGCTTAATGATTAGCTTTGAATTAAAAGAAAAATATGTTGGTTACAAAAGGACAACAATAATATTACAAACGACACAAAAACTTTCCAATTAACTTGAAGATTATTTAAATATAACAGATATTAAGCGTTAATGTTTATTTGCTTTCAAACACAAAGCTACACAATGGGCTATCTATGTTGTGTCCACCGTGAGAACTGAAACTAGATTTTTGGCGTTATAAGCTCTCAAACTTTCCGCTAAGCCACCGGGGATCGTCCCTTCGGTGGGTCAATGGTAAGTTTGCGGACACAGAACGTTAATATCTGCGGTGAACAGAATACAGATAGCTCATTGTGCAGCTTTGCATTAAGAAAACAACAACATCAGAGACATTAAATAGTCAACTTAGCGTCACCAGTTAAATACCTAATCCATTTAATTTATTCTTAATTGAAAAGACAACTTGGTACCTAACTGTTGCAGTAATACGAGTTCCTGATCAAAACAACTTAAAACTTCTCTTCTTTTTTTTTGTGCATAGTTTTATTTTTGTTATTAGTAGTCTGATTTTGATTGTTTGTTTGAAGTTAAGCACAAAGCTATTATACTATAATAAATGAAATACTCTTTCATTAAAAGAAACCCTAGCGGCCAGATGATAGATTTGACGTTATCCGTGACTCGGTATTATCGACAGAAATAGGTTTTGTTTAATTTATCGCAATTCGCATTGTTATGTCCTGCAGTTGTGTTAGTGTCACACGGTTATTAGTAATATTAGAACAAAGTTTATAATCCATCTGTATGTAAGACTGTGCAAAATTTAAACTTTCTGAATTACACAAGAACGTGTGACTTCAAATAGTAAATGAATTCGTTAGGAGAATTACTACTACTACTACTAGAAAAAGTGTAATCTCGAATGTGATAGGAAATACCAGATTTTAAGGCATTGTCACTCAGTCCATTCTACCCAAGTACCATAGAATAGATCCAAAGAATTTACTAGAACGTTTAGAAGATATGATGCTCAAAGATAAAGAGGTAATTGTGACGATGTTTTTTTTTTTTTGGTTTTGTTTTTAATTTTATATATCAAAACAGAAATGTAATGGAATGCGGTGTATTTCAAGTATTTGTTGAGACATATGACACTGATATTAGTGACAAGTAAAACATTACTTAACAATATCTGTTTAAAAATTATTAAAAGCTCATATCAAGGGTCGAAATAAAACTAAAAGTAAAAGTGTTTGCTTGTATTATTACAGAGGCTACGCCAGAGGGGGTTAGCAACCCCTTTAAGCAAAAGAAAACATTTCATGCTTCTTTTATTTTTAACATTGTAATGTTCCTTGATCCGCTACTAGATTTGCTTAAATTTAAAAGATAATCACTACCTATAAAAGCCTTATTCCCTGAATTTCTCTAGCTTTATGCAAATATTTAAATGCAAAAAATATTGAAAATCCACAAAATCATGGTGGGGTGTCAGTATTTGTTTGAAAGGATAATAATAATAGAGAAATGCAGTAAGAGCATTACCAAGCAGTTTCATGTAGATAAGTTTGGTGAAATGAGCTTTTTCATTCTGATATTAATTTTGAATTGTACAATACTAATATTGAGACAGCCACTTCCTACCTTGTCAGTCTAAATGTGAAAGACTTCCAACAAGGAGTTTCTTCTGCAGACTATCAGCTTGAACACCTGAATCAAATTGTCTGTAATTCTTCTGTGCTCCAGTAAAAACGTATGGACCTGTTTGGCCATTATTTGTAATTAAATGTTTCAGAGTAGATATCATTCTTGTAAGTTGTAACTCATTTAAGCACTATCTTTTGAAGAAAAATCAACATCCTTCCTATAGGAAGGAGACCAAAATTCAAATTTGTAAAAGCATACTTCAGATTAAGACCAACTTATATTTAAAGTTATATTTTCACATAAGAAGCAGTTCCTTTCCGAATTTCCATCCCCCATGCCTCAGTATTTTTCAATATTGAAACTTATTTTCCAAATTCTGCTCCCATCAGAGAGAGAATGGCAGTGTGCATACTGTAACTACCTACAGTATGAAGTTATGCATTCTTTAAAATTCTGCTGTCTGAAATAAACATTACAGTAGACAATCAGTTTTAGCTCCAGCAGTTTATTGTGGTTGTACAATAAAATGTAAAGCATACCTGGAATAATAATAAAAACTCCCTGATCAAACCAGTTACAATCAGTTTCAAAGTTCTACATTTTACAAAAATATATTTCACCAAAGTACAGTTTTCATAAATAGAAAATTTAATACAAATTCACCAATTTAAAAATTTCTTTGCAATATACAACTTATAATGTGAAGGTACATCAACCAATAATTCCCTCTCTAACTGTTTAATCAATCTGGTATTCACTGTACTTTAGCCTTTGTGCAGAATTATAGCCAAAAAATGTTAACAGTGAAGGTACCCAACTGATGAAACAATGCATTCTAATCTTTATAAGTAAGAATGTAAGAAAAGTATATTTAGTTAGCTATGCTTTTTACTGGGTTGTTGGAATTTTCTCCATCTCATTTATTTTTTTAACTGCCTTTTGAGAGCAGTCTGTCCATTTCTACAACCACCAGGTACAGAATAGCTTTGTTGATGACCATTCATCGTTTCCCTGGCCATTCTCTTTTTTTTTTCTGCAATTGTTGCAGAGTATTTCGGAGCCTTTGTTCAGTTCCTCTTCCAAACTGTTACTTATTTTTAGTTCTCATACTCTGTTTGAATAGTTGGCCATCTGTTCCTTGTATCATATTTCTATGAAGACGTATTTTCTTCTTCTTCTTCTAGCTTACAGGAGATATCACTCTGATATTTTTTGCCTTGGATGCCTCCTGCACATTTTTTGTTAAAGGGACAGGTTGATTTTATTTCTAGATTGCTCCTTTCTTCCCAATGCTTAGCTTGCTCATAAAGTTGATCAGATGTTTTCTTCAATCACCCTTCAGTTTCATTTATATACTTTGCACTGTATGGGCAGTGCAATGTTATCTTGCCTTGCACAGCTCCATTTAGAGGCAACCAAAGTAATTTCTTTCTGCCATGGGATCCCTGTACTTTTCGAGATGAGATTTTCTTTATCTGTTTTGACTGGATGAACAAAGCAACTCATTTGGCTTGTCTATTCCTCTATGGAAGATGTCATTTTTCATCTTTTCGAGTTCACTGCCCATCATGTTTTTCATCTCACCTCTGGCCTTTGATGTGCCGTGGATGACATTCTGCAGGCGGGGATGTGGATGACCCTAAACACATTTGAGTCGCATTAATAATACCACATTGCAGTCTCGTCAGCTTCTGGATATAGTCTTCCTCCAGTTTCTATCTTACAGTCATCCTAGAGGCTCTAAGGAGGTAAGTTATTCATACTTCAGGAACTGTAAAAAAGAAAAAAACAAAAAAGAGCCACAGGAACCCATTAAGTGGCCAATGTTACATCACAGAAAATAATTTTCTGTTCCAAAATCTTCATTGAGTAAAGGGTTTTCAGCAGTATATACATATATATATATCTTCCAAGTTGTACGAGATCAACAATAAAAGAAACAAAAGATTTGTTAAATAATCACTTGACAGCTCCAGCTGTCCTTATCTAAGCTAACACATTTTTATTCTCTCAATGAGACACTTTATGCATATGAGGTGATTCCTGTTCAGTTCATGTATCTCTCTGGTGTTTTCTGTATGGGAATTCATCTCTTCCAATTTTTTTCTAGTGAAGTAGAAGAATCCTTGCTGAGCAGTTTTCACATTATATCCTCATTTGTGACATCACAAAGAAGCAGAAGGTTCTTTTGACAGTTGCTTTCTGACCTACCTTTTGTATTGGAAGATTATTCTCTGCTTGAGAAGGATGCAGTCTCTCATCGAATGCTACTTCCACTAAGTCTTAACTCATAGTAGGAGACACACTTCATGAGTTTTCTTTCAAGAGTGAGCTTATCTTTTTAGTTTTTTCTTTACACTGGTCCCTCTATGGTTTTTTTCATTGTAGGATTTAGCTATTTGTTCTTTGGAGAGGTGAGTAACATTGTCTAAAGTTAACATTTGTTTTATCTAAAAATGTATTTCAGATATATACTCACCTCTACACAGAACCTCCTATCTTACTTCTGCTCTTCTAGCGAGATCCATGTTCGTACTTAAGGGACGAAAGTAAATGCTGCTATTATAGATTTTAAAGTGAGATCGATTTTCATACCTCAGTGACTAACGTAAATTTGCTGTTCTAGATTTTAAACTGAGATTGATGTTCATACTTAAGGAACCAAAGTAAATTCATCTAAAGTGTAGTGCTGAGGAAAAGAAGGAGTACTGCACATGGAGGATATGTTGCTTTGTTATTGGAGGAAGGATATATTCCAATCTTTATTGCATCACAGACTAGCACATGACACTATTACATGTAGAGGTGAGAGCTCATTCAACAGCTTGGTGCATGCAGTCTGTCGAGAGTTGAGTATCCTTCTAAAGCATATTTTCAGGTAAGGAAACTGGTAACTTTGGAGTAGGTTTCTAATACATGTTAGTGTTCAGTAAAGTTTTTATAATTGTTTACTCTGATACATGCTGTCTAATACAGTGAAAACATTTTTCTACAAAAAACAAAGTGTAGAATTTGGTTACTTTACAATCATCAGATGTATATTTTTTCATATTCATGTTTATAATTATTGTTAAGTCTTTCATTTTTTGTCAAGAAATATTTTCTAAGAAAAAATTAATACTTTAAGATTTTGTTTCCTATGCAGTTTTTCAGTCTAGTATTCTGACATAAACATGCTGCACTTTCTTTTATATATTATGGATATGTTTTTCAAAGGATGATATTTTTAATAAGATATAGAGAAATTTAGCAAATTTCATTGCAAAGAGTATTTAACTTCTTCTTACCCTTGTCTAGTGCCATTATGTAAACAGTCTGAATGCCAGTGACCAGTGTAATTTTGTGAAGAATGCAAGCAACTGTCAAAATAGTGAAAGCTACATTAATTACATTCAGTTTTTCTACTGTTCTTTTGGATCTGCAGAAACTGTAGCTCCCTTCATTGTAATGGTAAGTTTCACCTTTTTACTTTTCTAACATTGCAAAAAGTTGTTCAGTAGAATCAGCTGTATATGTATGTGATCAAAACATTTTGTTAATACCACATTGAAGCTATTAAACTAAGAAATTTGTGACAGGGAAATGAATTCAGAAGATTATATGCACACACACATATATATATATATATATATATATATATATATATATATATATATAAACTGACTAACTAAGTAAATTAAACAAACAAACCGAACGAACGAAACGAAACAAACAAAACTAACCAACTAACGTTAATTAAATAAGTTAAA